ATATATATATATATATTATATAATTATATAGTAATTTATTTCTTACTTTCTTCTCCTCCTCCTTCTCTCTCTCTCTCTCTCTCTCTCTCTCTCTCTCTCTCTCTCTCTCTCTCACTCTCTCTCTCTCGGGCTGCAAATATCCAAATATGCAACCATCTATTAGTCTCAGAAGCATCGATCGCGCCGCTTCAGATCCCGTCGTTATCGTTGCACAGATGGAAAATGGGACGCGATCCGCTCCCGTCTTCGCATCGACACGAATCAAAATCAACATCCACCGAATCATCGATAAAAGAAACGGAAGATGCAATGAAACAAGCGGTTCGCGACCTTACCGGCGGTGAGAAGTGGCATCCTCACGTGTTCTTGGTCCGCTCTGAGTCGACGGTAGAGCGATCGCAGGGAGGAAGGGGGTGGAGCAGTCAGGGGGGGTTCTCACCTGCGACGCGGGAACAGATTTGAAGAAGGGGAGACGGCAAAGAGGGGCTCGGAGGAGTTAAGAGTGGGAGAGGAATGGCGATCGGCGGGAGGGAGGGGGGGAAAATAATAACAGGATAGAAGCATCAAAACAAAAATAAACGTCGCCGGCATCAGAACCGTTGATGAGAAACTTCTTTGATGCGATGGACGGTTGCGCCCTTCTCGCGGCCAATACGGAGGATTGGTTTGCCCGAACCCAATCCCACAGACGGGCTACACCGGACACGAACCCAATGTCATGATGCTACGATGTGTGGAGCGAGTCGATGTATAATTGAGGTAATTGGATATTGGGATGCATAATTAAATGGCTTTATATTTCGCATGCCATGACGAAGTGAAGGATGCAGAGCCGCGAGACAAACAAGTCCTCGAAAAGTTACGTGGATGAGATGCGCGGGCACGACACGAAGGATTCTACGTTGTCATTGACTGAAGAGAGAGACAAGGCGGGGAGTACATGGCGTCAAGTCCATGGAGCAGGAGACCGTGTAAGCGAGGCAAGCCATGGTCACTGGCTTTGTACCGTGTCTCCACCTTCAAGGAGACACGTTTCGAAGCGGATCTCTCGCGAGCCCAGCCATGGCCACCGGGTTTGTACCCCCTTGTACCTTTTCTTCACCTTCAGGTAGACACGCATCGAACTAAATCTCTCCTTTTTCCTTCCCTTGGTACCGTCCAGCAGATTCAGCAGCTCTCGTTCCTCTCTCACTCGTGTTTGTTCTCAATCACACCGCGTCCTCGCAGCAACTTGGATTACAGAGAGCAGAGGAGAGGAGAGGAGAGAGAGAGGGAGGACAAGCAACTCGACGACAACGCAAACGTAGATCATACTGCAGCACAGAGACTAAGAGCGGTACATCTGATCACGGAGAGGAGGGAGGAGGGAGCTGCATGGATAGTGGAGGTACAGTAGATTGCACCAGAGACAGTAGACAACAGAGACGGAGCGGTGGACGCATGCACGATGGCTCTCTATCGCCGCCTGGCAGCGGTCTCCCGCTGAGAATTGAAGTAGACGGCGGCGACGGGGAGGTCGAGGCCGTTCTCCTCGGCGAAACGGCGCGTGCTGAAGCGGTCCCTCGAGGCCGGCGGGCTGACGGCTTGCCGTCGCTTCTGCTTGAAGAGAACGAAGACGAACCTGTGGATGCCAATGTTCGGCCGGGGGCTCTCGTAGCTCACCACCTCCCTTCCTGTGCCATCACAAACATCGCCCTGCTATGATTCGATGCTCGAAAAAAGGTATTGTTTTGATGATCAAATATAAGATTCAGGATTCTTTATGCACTGTAATCATTGTTTGCGTTCTTCGTGTTCTTTTGAGCCTCAAACTCGCTTGTTGTGTGTTGAATCTATGGTCTCTTCAAGCCATATGGTCTACCTCACATAGTGAAATTGCTCTTTATGATCAATGGACTCTCTCTCACACACATAAGAAAAAGGTACGTACTGAGAACAGGAGAAAGGACGTACCAAAAGAAGCATCTGTTGTGCCTGGAATGTCGGTCACAATCCTGTGAGATGATCAAAGTGTAATTGTTATTTATAATGACAGGCAATATATGTACCTAATGTTATCGTTGCATGTTAGATCAGAAGCCTCAACTGTGCAGTACATGAGTTGCAAAGTAAGGCTTCATTCAAGCTATTTCATCACTCTTAATATTTCTTGATCTAGGTTGGAGGAGATGAAGGTGATGGGGGTTTACCAATGCAGGTGTTCCCTGAGATATGGATCGCTGGGCCCTGGGACGTCTGGATCTGTCATAACCTGAAACAATTCCACAGCACAAGGTGAGTGTAGATAGATGCTCGGTGTGTCTCTCCTCGAGACTAGGGTTTGGAAGCATACCAGTGTGAAGAAGGACCTCATGTCACCACCCTGCACCTCGACTCTGGGCCTTGATGTGACAGTAGAAGGGTAGAACTCATGGCCATTGAAGACCAGCTTGTTGGAGCTGTAGGTGATCAAGATCCTCACACTGGGTCTGAAAGAGTCCAGAACCTCTCCAATCACCCTCCCAACAACTAGGGGTTCCACCGGCCTGGACATGCCTCCCACAAGAAAAGGAAGTCTTCTTGGCTGACCAAGGGATGTGTTTGGGAGGGAGGGAGGAGAGAAAGGGCTTCTCATTGGGCTATGGAAGTGGAAGTCCCTATTTATAGGCCAAGTTCCCGGATGGCTTTAGATCGCCTGTCCGGTTACAAACTCAAGAGAGCTGATATGAGTTCAGCTATGCTTCCCCATAGTTTCTCAATATTATTTTCTGATGGATACTCAGAGCAGGTTGTCTGCCAACCAACAGTGATCTGACACAGTGGACTGGCTCTCTGTATCTTCACCTTGTGAGTCTCCAGTCTGGATGAGGGAGCTTTAGGGATTTTATTTGAACTGTTTGGAATGTCAAACATTGTTCCTGAGTGAAAGACATGTAAGAATCTTGTTAGGAAATAAATATCCCTCATGTTCTCTCAAGTTTAGGACAATGTAGGTTTAGACTTTTGCATCAAGAGAGTGTCCAGAAGACATTTTCTCTGGACATACTGCATTTTTCAAAATGTAATAAATTGACAAAACCAGGTTTACACCACAAAAAAAAAAAGGGAAAAGAATAAAACAATTTTATTAATGATAATATTATAGTGTCTTCTCTCAAAAATGAAAATACTATAGAACAAAGGCCAATTATTAATGATAAAGTGGCTAAGTTTGGATGATATAGAAAAGCATGAAATGAAAAAAATAAATGTGGCAAAAGAATTGACTGTATTCATTCTCCACTTGTCATTTTTTGAACATATGATGGCAAAAGTATTGAAGATCTCTCTCATTGGGGAACTTTTCTCAGCCTACGACTAATATTAGGAGTTCAGCACATCTGCTTGCTTTTGCTTTATCAAGCAACACAGAATCTGTTTCATAGCTTCTGCAACATGCAAAATCCAATCTTTCTGGTTGAGGCCAAAAAAGGGGGGCATTACTGAGTTGTGTGTGTTGCAGGAACCTCCCAAAATGCCATTATGGCACGGAGACCTGACTTGCCTTTAATGGTGAATAATACTTTAGCAATGTTAGGAAGGCATAAAGGGACTCCAACCACATCACACTCCACTCCACAAAGTGGCCATCGTAGTGCTGAGATGCAATTCCAGGGAAAAGAGATACCATGGTCCTTGGCTCAACAAAAAGTACCCCTCTTTATGATGCCACAAACTCACATTGTTCTGCCCGTCAAGCACAAGCCCACACAACAACCCATGTTCTAAGCCTACTATCCATTGTCTTCTCACTTTACACACTGCTTCTTCTATCTAGACTTTCATGGTGAGATCGTGCATCAAACCCCGAGGCTTCTTATCCACTACTACCCAGCAAAGAAGAACTCGATGTCTTGATAGTCCAAATACTGATATCAGCACTTCCATCAGAGTTAAAAAAGAGTTTTGCTATTGATCTGTATGCTTTTCTTCCGTTTATAGCTCAACCATCTCCACCTGTCTCTTCTTCAAGGAAAGATCATCTTTATGATGCGTCGAACAACTACAGCAGGACAACACCGGGAACCTCCGACACTACCGATGCAACCAATACTTCAGTTTCACACATGTTCCACCAATCAGGGGATGTGCATCTTTCATCAAGATGAGGTGCAATCCACGTCGATCCCTTGGAGATTAAGAAAGCTGGTGCCCCGTCTCATTCAGACTTTTTATCGAGAGCTTGATTCTTAGCTAAGAATCTCCACAAACACAATAGTATTAATGCCTCAAACAAGTTATATCTTTAAGCAGTCGAGAAAACACTGGAAGATACGGGTTGGTGACTGAATAATAGCACAACGCAGGTATATAAAGCAGATTAAACATTCAATGATATTGTCACAGTTCAAATCAAATCATATGTACACAACTGGTGTAACTTAATATCACCTCCGTGATGAGTTTCACTTCAGAACTACACAAACTGCTTAGAACCTCACTATTTAGCTTCAGCAAACAAAGTGGGTATGCATCCCAGGTGGCAGTTCACCATAATTCTTAGCTGTTAGAGATCGCCAGTTCCATTTAATAACCAACCACCTGTTAGACACAGCAGATCTTAAAAAGTTATTTGGCCATCCAAGTGGCTGAGATATTCGAAATACAAATCTGCGAGATATTGCTGAACAATCTTTATCAAGGTACCGATGCTAAAATGTCAGCTTTTATGAGATTCCAAAGTCCTACCAAGCATCTCCTGTTTGGTTCTTTTCACAGCCGCCCTTCATGCTTTATTTCTGAAGGATCTAAAAGACCTTCCAAGACAACAAGCTGATCCAACAAAGCCAGCTTCTCATTTTCCAGAGTTTTCACTTCTGCGTCAGCCTCACTGAGTTGGCTGTCCAGTGAGAAGCTTTCTTCCTCCAGCAACAGATACTTGTGTCTTAATGCCCTGTACTCATCACCAGATCCTGAAGGATCAGCCAATGAATCAAGAGCCGCCCTGTCTATCTGTTGGAAAGATGAGGGAACCCCATCTTTATGGCCTTTCTTGGATACCTTTTGTGGCTTTTTAAATAGATGGGTCCCCTCATTTTCCCCTCCATGCTCTCTCTTGATCTGAACTGCACTAGACATTTGCTTCAATGGTTTCTTCTTTCGTGACTTGGCATTAGTGATTTCTGATGAAATGATTGGTGGGTCTTCCATTTCTAATGGGATAGGATCAGCTCTGTAGAGGTGCACTTCAGAAGCAAATGACTCTTAGAACCAGAACGAACCTACAGAAAGAGATATGCATACAATTAGCTTCAAATTAATAATTAGAGCAATATTGCTGAATTCATGTCTAAAAATCGTCTACCACAGTAGACAAAGCAGAATGTTAAGCCCTCTGCTTGTTGGAAGGACAAAATGGCTGTGGTTCAAGTCTCATCCACTGTATTATAAACTAATCATACTATTATATCAAGTCATAACATAGCTAGCTTTTCTACATGGAGGATTGATGCCACGAAAACTCCGGTCTGAAACAGATCAACATAACCAGGGTTTCCATGAGAACTACAGGAAAGTGGAGTTGTGAATATTCCCAAGAAGAAAAATACTATGAAAAGATGTGAATAGCTTCAATTATGTTTGTTTAAGACAAGAGGTGAACCATAAGAGTGGAAGCAGTGTATCAATATAGGGATGTACCTGGTGAGGTTCAGTTTATGGTTGACCCTAAAACTGTATTGTACCCTTTCTTTTGTACCTCAGAACCAAAACATGAAAACAAAGGTCATAAGAAACAAATTTGGTTTCTGTCTGGCTTGTTGGATTTCAAACCAAACAGATGACTGAAATCTAACCAAGCAGATTTGAACTTTCATTTTCAAACGAAAACCAACCTGATCTTTGATTAGAACCAGGCAAAGCTGAATCAAACAGCCGGTCCAGTTTGGTTTATTCTTTCTCAATCTGGATGAACTGCCTCACATCATACTTCAATTCTTTCCAAGCATTTCATCAAAGATATTTTTCTCGCTAAATAGCCACTATGCGAAAGCTGACTTGAAGAAAAAAATAAACTATTGGAATCTAGAGTCAAGCAAATGTGAAAGATTCTCAAACTATATTATCGATCATACTGTCAAAATAATGGATCTAAGATACAATCGATATGTGAATACTCTTCCATAACGAAACCAACAACCATAAAACATTGCAACCTCTCAACCTCAAGTTTTTTTTCATTATATACACATCTCCATATGTTTCATTAAAGAATTAGTTTTACTGTCAGAAATTTAGTTTCACATGCACAATCAATGGAATACTTAAAAGCAGTCATACTAAAAAAGCATCTTTTAATTCCCCTGAAGTAAGCCCTGTGGTTATCCACACAGAACATCGTGATAACTAGTTGAATGGCACAATAGAGAAAGGCATCAACAAGTCAACTTGAATAAGATGCCTTCCACCAAAGAATTAGTAGGCTTCTCATTATGTCAAGAATCATCCATGCATATAATTTATTTTTCTTCATTCACCATATCCATGGTCACTTCATGATAATCAACAATTCATGAACTGACCTAGAGAACCTAAACACATAAACTACAAGACCCAATTCTCATGACGTACTTGGGTAGAATGATAGATTAAAAGAAGCCCAATGTGAAAGACACATTTACCAAGTCACTTTACCAGATGAAGGGATAAATGTTGCTCTATAGAAGTGAATTATTTAGTGATATGCCTCCTAGTCAACCAAACAATAAATATCAATCCTAAAAAATTACCATCTTCCCTCAAATAAAAATTATGATAAATTAGTTGCATTTAGTGTATGCATTATTTGTTTGAAAACGCTGAAAATCCTATTATTCTAGTGCACTGCCAGTAGAAAAAGTATCCAATAAAATCTACATCATTTTTCACATTAATAAACTGAAAAATGTGTGCAAAAATTCACTAACAAGAACAATAATTTTCATAAACTAAAAATTAAATGATTCTAAAGTTCACAAGATTAAAAAGCAAAACTGTCCAAAAGTTTGTGAAGAACACTGATAAAGTGGGAAGAATCAATTTATAAATCCTTCCTTAACTAGGAAAATAATATAGCAGCTATTATCATAATCAAAGCCAAAAATAAGCAAATACTGATTTACAGGACAACTTTTGGAAAAAGAAACAGCAAAGAATGTAGGAGTCAAAGTCAATTAAAGGTTTGATCGACGTAGAAATGTGGTGGCAATCAGATGGTTACATGCTTCGTAATTGAAATATAGGTCTATGCCAGCATTTATAACTAAAAATGCAGCCCATGCCTTTTTTTTCCAACTCAGTTACACACAAGCATGAAACATGCCGTGTAGAAGAGGTTGCAACAGCCACAGTGCTATGACTTGGTCCTCTTCCTTCATCCCAGAACCATCTCATCGCGTTCATATACATTTTCTTACTAAGACCTTTTACTATTAAGCCATCATGTTCTTACATTGAATCAAAGGGAAACAAGTAAATCAATGGAGGTTAAACTTACTTCCTTTCAGATTGAGGAGCAAATAATCAGAACAGTGATTTAAAAAGGCGCTCGGGCGAGGCGAGGCCCGAGCGCCTCGCTTCACTTCCAGGCGGCATGCTTCAAAGAGGCGCCGCTTGGGCGCTCGCCCAAGCCCAAGCGCTGGGCGCTTCGGGCGATCGCCTGGGTTAAACCAGGGGACCGAACCAGCGTTTTAGGTCTGGTTCGGTCTCCGGTGCTTTAGTTGGTTCAATCGAACCAACTAAAGCACCGATATCAGCTATCGCTGCCCAACCCTAACCGTGCTCGTTGCCGCTGCCGCCCCCCCTACTCACCGCTCCTGCTGCCGCTGCTCGCTGCCGTTGTTGCCGCTCCTGCTGCTCGCCGTTGCCGCTGTCGCCACTCCTGCTCCCACTGCTTCCTTACATTCCCGCTGCCGCTGCCTCCTGACACTCCCGTTGCCGCTTCCTCTTTTTTCAGTCAGCACCTCCTTACACTCCTCTTCCTTCTTCTCCTTCCGTATACTGTTAACAGTATACTGTATATTGTTAACAGTATACAATATACTGTTAACAGTATACTAATAATAATATTTATATTTATTAGATAAATAATATACTATTTTGAATTTTGAAACTTTTTGTTAATGTGACATTATGATTTTGTATATTAGATTTTCTTAATTTAATAACATATTTTTATTTAAAATTTTAAATAATTATATTTATTAATTATATTATATATTTTTATATTTTAGCGTCTCGCTTCGCTCGAGCGAACACCTAGCGCCTCGAGTGTTTTTGAACCTTAGCGCCTTTTGGCGCCTAGCGCTTTTTAAATCACTGAATCAGAATAAACAAAACAAGAAACCAACTCAGATAATAAAAACTTGGTCAAATGCAAAAGCAACTTGCACAATTTGCAACTACAAAACCGAAGGAATAGTTACATAAGTGACCATTTTCTAATCAAGTATGCAAGATTGTACGTTTAAAGAGAGATGTGAATGCATGAGAACTAATCGAGTAGATTCTATCAATTGTAGGTTTTCTAAAAATTCTCATTAGTTTTATTGCTCAGAAGCAATGGCAATATCTAGACATTCAACAGTTTAGGCATAGATTAATAACCCATATGAAACTAGGCAACATATTAAAGACTAAGTAGGGGGAAAAAAAGACATCTAGATTGTGGTGTAATATATATGTTACCTAAAAAGTGCAAAGGATAAGATACGCATAGTTCAATACAAGGATAAGGAGCAGCAAAGACAACTACTAAGGGTCATTTTTTATATAGATGCCATAATGAAGGTGTTGAACACAATTCTGCTTGGTCCACTTTTTACAGGGCAACTCAAACCTGTATACTACGGCTTGAAATTTTTTCTAACTGAAGCAAATTGTTTTTATTATACAAACTAACCAAACAGACCTGTTATCACAATTTCATGTGATCTATAAAATAGTGTAGCATCAGTTTTCATGTATCATGACAATAAACCTAAAAGACACAACCAATATATATGCTTTGCTGTAAATCATGCAAATATATACTCACAGCGAGTAAATTAAATAATGTCTACAGTTAAGAAGATATATAAGGGCAATCAGGCACAAGGCTCTTTCAATGCAAGATTTGGAAAAGGCCAATGTAGCAGTTTTATGGTGTCAAGGTTCCCCTCCTCCTCCCAAATCAAGATATTTACTTGCAAAGAAGTAGCAAAATCTAATACAACTAATTGTTGCAAGCAGGAACTGCTCTTGACAATTAAAGTTGTATAAGTTCAAGTTCTGATGATCTGCACGTAAACATAGCATTCATTGAAAGATGACTAAAATGTTAGGTAATTCATGCACGTAAAACTATCGATGGAACGAGAGACAAAGAAACGAATGGTGCTGGCTGAAAGGAAAAACCCTTTCCGTGCCCTCTATATAAAATATAATTGCTTCAATAAAAGATCTCGCAGACTAGCATAAAAAGAGTCTAATCTCCCCTTTTGTGGGTCGAGATCCATATCATCAGTACAGCAATATAAAAATGTCAACATTCACAATTGATGAGTGTAGGACATGAAATGAGAAAGGAGGATCCGCGGAATGGAATAGGGAGATGATCAAACCTAAAAATGGAGTGTCTATCATTCCGTCTCTATGTACACAACAACATGAAGAAGGCTTCCACATCCCAGCTCCATCCAACATCCGAAAAAGATTTCGATTCCGTGTAAGGATCGCGAAAGGGTTTCGACATGAAGAGGTAGAGAAGAAAAAAGGAAGACGAAAGTCTCCTATATCCAAGAAAGAGACAAGAAGGAAGCACCTATTCACCACACCGCCGATAGGTGCCACGCGGTCCTTCGTCCCGCCCGTTCGCCGACGGTCTCCATTGCGATCGTTGAGTTAGCTAGGGCGGCGAAGAACGAAGACGGCCATCGCGATGTCAAGATGGGGGCCGCTAGGGCTTGCTTGTATCGCATGCATAATTGGGTCGACCGACCGGACAGCAAAACCGCCCGTGTCAAGTTTAATGACGGAAGCCGGACCGTGCCGTTTTATTGAGATAGCATCACATATAACGGTCATCATGTGGACTGGGACCCGCCTTGGGTCCCCAATCGGTCTACCGTGTCAACCAATTACAATTCAATGCGATTTATTATTTTTAAAAATAATAATTTAAAAAATTATTACATTAAACGAGATCAATTCAAACTAAAGATTTATTACTGTGTAATAATATACGAACATCCATCTTATAATATGATAGAAGTCAAAATAAGCTTTACTGTATAGTGTATAATGTACCTATTATCTAAAATTTACAAACTAAGTCAACATCTTACACGTAAATTTTAAAATAATCGTCTGAAATTTAAAATTAGATATACATAAATTTTTTAAATATTAATAAGGTATATTTTGGACCTCGGATACGTCAACAGCAAATGCGAGCTCCCGAGACACGCACCAAGCGTCACGTCATACCACTGCAGATCCAGCACAGAAGGCGTTCACTTTGCAAGTCTCATCCTAGAAAGCTCGAGACAATGTCGCATGACGTCGTTCCGAGCATACCGGACGACGGACACACGAAGGTACGAATTCATCACTCGAGGGGGGTCTATCGATACGCCAAATCAACGTACGACCGATCCTCGGACAACAGCATAAAAGCCCCCGGTCGGCATCTGCCCAAGGGAAAAAAAGACAGAGAAAAGACCATCGACTTAACCTCCGAAGGGCTCAAGTCGAAATCTCCCCGACCAAGGTATGTGTGCAGGAACGTGGACATCCTCAGAGACACGACTATCCCGACCCTTGATCAAGCCTGACCTCGGCATCTCTTCCAATTGACTGAGAGACTCACCTCTGAGCGTTGGGAACTCCGGACATCGACCTGTGGACCAAGTCGTGTTGACTCCTCGACCACGACGTTTGAGTTCACCAACAAATATTTTTATAATAATAAAAATTTTAAAATAAATATTAATTGGAACTTCAACTAACAATCAAAACATACTAAGCAATTAACGACAAGAAATATATTTTAAAAAATTGAGAAAGGACCTTTTATTTAAAATAAAATAATTAAAACTAAACTCGATCAATATAATTATATGTTACCCATCTTACGATTAAAATGATTCATCGGCATGAGACGTTGAGAAATATATATCTATATTTTTAAAATTATTCATTCAATTAAATCAATGATTCATTATTCGAACAACTAGCAGTAAGCATTTAATCATGCATGTGTATTTTTATTTCTTGATACATTTACATGATTTTATCAATAAAATTATTTAATATAGTGATTGATAAATTTCTTATCAAAATTCTGATTGGACTAAACTGGATTTTTAATTGAATCAGTTTAATTAAAAAACTTTAAATTAACAAGTAAGTTATCAAGTCGAGTTATGATAAGTAGTGTCGTGCTCGATCATATCCACGGATAAAGCCAAAGCGCATCTTAGATTGACTTAGTATTTAGGTTTGATAACTCAATAAAATCAATGAATTGATTAATCTCTGAGAAAATGTTGTCTTCAATTGACTTTCAAGAAAATGTCAAGATTTTAGGTTTTGTCTTCAAATGTGTCCTCGATATTCATATTTTTCTATCAAAGTCATTTCATTTTGTAAGAATACCTAAATACTCGTATTTGCAAAAGGATGTCTGCCTTGGAAATCTGGAGTTGAATCAGATCTTCGATTGACTCAATACAGTGTTAGATTGAACTTGATTATAATATTTTTTATTTAAAAAACACAATAAAAACATCTTAAAACATCACAGAAGAAAATATCTCCTTTTTTTTGTTATCATTGTTTCTCATAAATGAAATAAATATTATACATTTTTAATATAGATAGACTTAATTTTTTAGGTAAAGTGAAAAGTAATAATCTTCTATTTTGAAATATGTCAAGATGTTTTTATTTTTAACACAAAATTACTTAAAAACTCTCAAATAAATTAGTTTATAACATCTTATCATGGAGGAATATCTTTTAAATTATTTTTATTTCATAAATATTCTCTCACTGCTTTATAAGTAGAAGAGTATAATTCAATATTTGAAATTTTATTATTTTATAATTATATAAGTTCTTGAACTTGAGTATAGCATTCATTGAATGCTAGTCACTTGCAATGATCTCCTTCAAATTTCGATACTAACAACATTAAATCTATTTGGCTAGTTTTAGTTGAATTTCAACGATGAGTTGATAAGATGGTCGTTAAGTTTTTATTATTATTTTGAAAAAGTTAGGATTCTTTTTTAATATTTAAAAAATAAAAGATATAAATTAAAAATATATAAAACTTGAAATATTTTCAACACTGTCACTCTTTAAATTTTATAAAACACACTAAAATAAGAAAAATATATAGATAAACTTTCATCTATAAAAAAGGTGCCCCAAATCCCATTGATCATTCATTTTAAATACATTTTTAATTTTATTTTTCTCACTTTTTATGCTATATAAGTATATAAGTCATGCGATAAAAAAGAAGACAAATTAGAAGAGATATTTAACTTAGGATCTTACGAGTAAATATTTTAATAAATATTTAATAGATAATATAAATTATAAATATACACTTTATAAGCTTTGAACAGTCACATGACACTGCTATAAAACAAGATAGCAAACTAACCTTAACACTATCCTAAATTTTCATTTAACATGTGTCATCTTGGTAACTCTAAGGTGTTATACTGTTTAACATTTTATACTATTTTATGGAGCTAAAAAACCTCTCAAATGATTACCTAAATGATCTATTTTTAGGTAGTTTTGCTTTTATACGATGACTATACATAATTATGTCTATAGAACTAAAATGATTACAAAAGTCAATCGAAATAGGGTTGTCAAGCCTATTGTAATCCCTCTACATGTTATGCAAAATATGAATAAAATCGAAAGACATCGATATAGATAAATATTATATCGAACACCCTTTATACATATTTGTCGATAACATTCTTCCTCACTTGTTCCTTAATGTTCTCGTTGAAGCCTTGGTAGATCCCGCATCTTCTTGCTTTTGTTGAATATTCAATCTTATACTTTAGTTGTAATATATTTCTTGGCTCCCATATTTTCTTTGTCGTTATTGTTGAGTAGTTAAATTTTGATATGACAATGCTACTTTAACTCGTCAATGATTCTAACTCTGTTGAGGGGTCGGTCTAGTTATGTTGATATTTGTTAGTTTCTATAAATTTTTTAAACGAAGAAAAAGATATTTATTATTATGCACTAGTCTCTTAAACAACTCATATCGTTTAAACTAGGTAAATGTCTATTGGAGTTTTAATGAGCATTATCTCATGGACCTCAAAATATTTTTAAAAATTTTCCTCAATCGATTTCTCTTATACTTAGTTGTCATCTCTAAGTACATATTACTTTTGCTTTTAATTGACATTTTGTTGAGATATGAATTTGACAATCTACTTTCAATAGAACTGATCACTATTGATGAGGATTGAATAACTATTGTCTTCTACTAAGTTTCTTTAAATTGTCTTTGAATATATAAAGAACTCATTTGCTAGATAAATAAGAGAACTGTGATACTCTATTTCACTCATTCTCTTAAAAGTTGAGAAGACAAAAATTACTTAATTTTACGTACCTCTTCGAGGGTTGTACTTCATACATCAGGCTAGTTACTATAGGAATATCTAGTGGCGACATCATATGCGCAATAAAAGAACATAAAATAAAAAAATCCTAAATTTCCTAAAAGATGTTTATTGTCGTGCGAAGATTGATGCACAAAAATCTACAAAATTAAAAATCACGTGTGAGATAGTTGTATTACCTAGGGAAATCGATACCCCTAAATTCTTACATATTCGTGGGAAAGGATGAAGGAGGTTAAGCGTCCTCCTCTCTAGTGACAACCATCTACTCAAATCGCTACTCAAATCTATACACCTATTGTCTGAGGAGGAGAAGAGGAGAAGAGAATAGGAGATGACAACCAAGAAACCTAGCATATGACCCTTTTGTTTTTTTATATTTATAGATATCTCTTGTCAACTTAACCCTAATTAGTCATGCCCTATTAGGTATTAAATCTCCAACCAACTACTCATGCCTATTAGATTAGTATATCTCTATACAATAATCTCACATTTGTTCTTATTAAATCTCATTCATGGGATCCAATAATTCATGGGCTTATTGAATATCCAATAAAATATAGACTCCAGTGGATATCTCATATCTGAACCTCTACTTGTTGTAATACCTACTATATGTATGTGACCCTCTAGGCCCAATATCGAGCTGGTCATTTGTCATACATATCAGAACATGTTTCTAGCTCAATAAATTATTATCTCTATAATAATTCACTCGACTCATTGACTATGAATGTACTAGGCCACTATGCCATATTCCCTAGAGTCTGTCGCTTAGTAACTCTTGAAGTCTACCGATTTTATTAAAATTGGTGCCCTATTGTTTGAATATTGGGCATTTGGTCCCTAAATAATCTCTATTACATATATTTTTCTTCGTCTCAACTTAAATGATAACACTATGATATATTTTTTATGAGTACTTTCCTCCACGTCCTCTTGCCCCATGTAAATGCCTTCTGATCTTAACTTTACATTTACAAATTAAGTCACCTTAGTCCCTCTATCAATTATTTCGTTAATATAAGGTGCATGTGTTGTAACTCCCTTCAACTTTGACACCATGCAAGATAAATCCGCTCAATCAGAATTAAGAATCCATGGAATGATATGATCTCGCTTTGCCTCTACAAGAGTTCATATCATTGACCTTTGTCCAAGGAAAGCTTTGTCTTTCCGCTCTATGTTCCATATTCTATATTGACTCTCATCATATGGCTTGGGCATTTCATCAAGTTTTACCTAAGTTGTTTCGCTCATCGATTTGCATTGAGTTGATGGTGGCTCTCAGGTCCACTATTTCATGGGTCAACCCTCTATCGAGTCCAATCTC